TAGTAGATGGGTGAATAATCCGTAGGTTGCGCGCGCAATGCATGGTTTCCAAGAGCGATGTTAAGTTCACGTAAGAACATGGCTTGTCAAAAATAAACTGTGTTAAGTGCGATAATGCGTTTGTCGTTATTATTATTATTATTATTATCATTATTATTATTATTATTATTATTATTTTATTCTATCTTTTTGAAACAATGTATAATAAAATAATTATGAGATTCGGTTTTGTGATATCCGAAATAATCATAAAAATTACAATTTCCGCGATTGTGACTGGTTTAAAAAACTCCTATTTTTCACAATTCACTTCCCAAGTTGTTATCGGACAGTTTGTCATTGGACAGTTTGTTATCGGACAGTTTGCTATTGGACAGTTTGTTATTGAACAGTTTGTTATTTGACAGTTTGTTATCGGACAGTTCAATAAGCTAATCACATTCAGAGTTGTAGTTTAAGGGCACACGAACTGATCTTTTCGAGCCATTGCTAAGGAACATTTATTCTCATATAACCTCATCATTTTTAGTTAGTTCAGAGTTATTTCATAAGTTTTAACTTTTTCATGATCAGTAGTACCAGTGATGACGTCATCAGACCACGCCCATGGTCATGTGACTAATACTGAAAAAATGCAAAGGCTCCCAGGCAAATAACTTTATCGGGATTTTTTTTCATTGAGTTAACATTTTAATTTAAATCTTCGTTACGCTATGCATAGATTTTGTTTCATTTCTGAAAAGTCAGATTTTGAGAGAATTTCAAAATATTGAAAAATCCGTAATTTTCTGAAAAAAGCGTGATTTCGAAAAAGGAATGTATAGCTTTGTTCCCAACGTTGGTTTGAATCGAAATTCGTCGAGAAAGGCTGGATTTAATGTAAAACCACGTTTCCTTTAGTATTTAAAGAAACCGGAAGTGCGCCCAGTATATACTGGAAGTTACCCTGTCAGCGTGAGAGCAATTTACACTGCCAGCGTACTTCCGTAACATCAAACAAAGCCACATGGAGTTAGTTTTTCTCTTTCTATTGCTCTTGTTTTTTCTGTCTTTCTCTTATTTTGCCTTTGCTTGTAGTTTTTTTACTTTGCATTTTGTGAAACACGAAGAAAAACATCTTAAATGTAAGCGAATTTGCAAGTTCTTGAGTGTTTCTATTTTCCGCGCTCAGGCTGACGTCAGTAACCGGAAGTGAAATTTTACCTCCTTAGCAAAGCGCGCGAGGGCGCGCATGAATCGGTTAATGGGCCCTTAAATCAACCAATCACGTTCAAAGTTGTAGTTACTTGCGTGCGTGCACACGCTTGCTTTTGAGTTTTTGGCGCCTAATTTTATCGCAAATTTTCCCTTTCTTCTTTTCTCGGAAGTTGTGAATTTTATGATCAATAGGTAAGAAGACTTGGTGTCGTCCAATTCGGTCTGTAATGATACTCGTGATGAACAAATCGGACCCCCGCTGCGCAATCATCTGATTTTCTTATCACTCTTATGACAACCGACCGAATTGGACTCCACTCAGTCCTATTACCATTACTAATCAAGGTCTCAGTTAGTGTTATCAGCCTCAGCCTTTGGCTTCATGATCAGCTGATAAAACTTACATCGACCGTTTTAATAAAATTTCTTTGCTTTTTCATTCAGCATAACAATAGTCAAGTTATGTTTTTATTCAGTCCGGGAGCACTTTGGCAATTCTTCGAAAGTCTACAATATATTTTTTTTCGACAGAATGTTTACATCTTCTTCGGTCAACGCCTCAGCCACGTTTGATTTGTTTCATTTACCTTGTTTTTTAAGTTCTTTTCTTCGAGCTTCCAGACGTTTCCTTGCTTGGTAAAGCTCTTTGTCATCGATAATGCTTTTGGGGTATTTGTCTTCTTTAAAAACCGGCTAAAACTTGAAAAAAACCCTCGAAGGCTTGATGGTTTGAAATCCTGTTCATCTTTTCGTTTGACGTTTAAAATAAATTTGCGCATGTACTTGTTGAGTTCATCTGATTTGATTTCTTCCACTTTTCTCGTCTATTCCTTCAGTTTGAGAAATTGACTAAAACAAGCTAACGTCGCGTCGGGTTCTTAACCGAGTACATAGTGTTTTTGTTCTGCTGTCTTCAATGGGTTTATCTAAAGCATTAAACCTGTTAGGACCCTCCGCCATTCAGAGATCTTCAGAGATTTCTGTGGTTCATAGCTAACTTGCTAGAAAGCTAGGGTTAACTTGTGGAAACTCTACAAACTTCTGTGAATGAAGACTGAAGACGCGCCAACAACAGCGTGAAAGCGTTGCGAACTGACTGATTCATTTTGACAGCTGATTTCTGATTGGATGAAACGCGTTTCCTACGTTAGAGAAAGTCTTTTCGCGATTGTGATTGGCTGACGAAATTTCCGTATGGGTTTTTCATGAGATCGATTCAATCCGAAAATTTCAGAAAGTATGAAATAATACTGTTTTCGCTTAATGACATCTATGTTCATTTTTCACAGCCATCTTGCTGTAATAGTTTGGTGTTGGTTGAAGTACTAGTTAATTATTTCGATACAGGACTCATCAGTGGTCCTATGAACACAATAGATCATCATACAAGAAAACTTATTATTAGCAAAATAACCATTAAGTTAAAATTGCCACGAAATATAATGGGCGTAAAATTTGGCAGCTTGTATTACTATTTCATTCATAGGAAATTTTTTGTGACATTTTCAAACACTTCTGTCGGTTGAACAGATTTTGGGTTTTTTTTTCCCGGACTATGTCACGGAGGACATTCGTGGACTATCTGTCCAGCCGTGGAGATATAACCAGTTAAAATATGTATAAGAAGAAAAACGAAAGAGTACGGAATCGTTATGCTGCATTGACATACCATTTTCAGCGCTGCTCTGCTGGGAAATGATCAAAACAAATACATCCGAGTTCAACACATTGATGCAACTTTTGAATGAAAATATCTCTGGATGTGGTTTTGCTGTAAAAGAGAACGCCACAAGAATTGAGGAGCGTCTTCGCGTTAAATGTGCACTAATATCAAGCCAAGCCACCTAAGGCCGGAAAAAAAAAAAAAAAAAAAAAANAAAAAAAAAAAAAAAAAAGAGAGAGAGAAGCTACAGAATGAATGTTTTTGTGGAAGAAGTTAAAAAAAAAAGCATTATCGAACATGAGAACAAAGCATTTCAACACAAGGATCTGACGCTTAGAAAAGACGAAAAATGTTATGTCAAGTAAAGTGTTACGCTATTTTCAAGTGTCTAAAAAATCTGACAAAGATACGATTTTTGTAAAAAAATCGAAATTTCTTACCGTAATAGGAACTGAACGCGTTCTTTTTTGCATAAGGGTAAACCCATCTGGGGTGAAATTAAATTTACCAGTCTACAAACAACCTTTTATGTCAACTGTTGACTTGCAAAGACGTAGAAAACGAGAAATTAAAAGCACACTTTTCTCGACAATCTCGAAACCTCTGTGGCCACTTGCTCTTTTGCTGTTCCATAATTTACGGGAGATTTCAGCTCAAAAGCTATTTGTACATGATATCTTTAAACTGAAATCCATATTAGAGGATTATCATTATTATTATTTTTTTTTATTTTCACGTTAAAGTCTAAGAGAAGGCTGCGTCTCACGAGCCACTTCGCTGCGCAGGCGCTGTATCGTCTGTTGTCGCCAATGGGCAATCTATCGCCTGATAGTGCCAGCGCGAGATCGTACCAATTGGCCATAACGACAAAGGAAAACTTAGTGGTGATCAATATAATTAATAATAACAGTATGAACTCGAGATTTCTATGAGTTAATAGCTAATGAGACCGAAATAAGAGAGCGAATAATCTAATTGTTTTAGTATAATTCTAACTGAAATCGACTTCAAATAACGGTTTCCAATTACTTCAGGCTCGACGTATTATTAAACTTTGCGCAATAGAAAGATCGCTCAAATTGAATTCTCGTTTGAAATTGAAATTGTATGCGCGCGCATCAATTTTTTATAAAGTTATTTTAAGTTTTTAAAGTCAAGAAACTGTTAATGTCCTTCATTTAGTCTTCTCAGGAATTTAATTATCCATTTGCACCAAAATGACTTGTTCCTTGAAAACTTTGAAAAATAAAAAAAAATAAAAAAATTTAAAAAATTAAAAAAAAAGAAGAAGTTGCCATTTCGTAGACGACCAGCCACTGCACCAATGGCTGATATTGTACGATCACGCAAACAATCAGGTTGCAGCATTTGCATTAGTGTTCAAGTGGAATTCTACTAATGACTGATAGCTAACTATTCACAGCAGTCCCTTCCATGCTCGAATACGATTTGGAGAAAAGTGGCGACCGCGTTCACAGAGACGTAAATGCAAAAATGAAAATGAGGATTGGGTGAGGGAGGAAAACAAAAACCGAAAGAAAAAGAAGAGAACGCGGTTTAAAGGACGCGAGGGTTGAGCGTGAAAGGAAGTAGCCAGTACTAAGGATCTGAGGTAGAGAACGCTAGTTACGTGAAAGTGATATGAATACATTAGAGAGTGGGATCTTATACTCGTTCTGCAACGGACTGGTGCGAATA